AATCATATTTAACTTGTTACTTTGTTGTGTACATGATTCATCCACTTGAAATGGTAAACCTAGCTAATGTTGGTTATAATCATATTTAACTTGTTACTTTGTTGTGTACGTGATTCATCCACTTGAAATGGTAAACCTAGCTAATGTTGGTTATAATCATATTTAACTTGTTACTTTGTTGTGTACATGATTCATCCACTTGAAATGGTAAACCTAGCTAATGTTGGTTATAATCATACTTAACTTGTTACTTTGTTGTGTACATGATTCATCCACTTGAAATGGTAAACCTAGCTAATATTGGTTATAATCATACTTAACTTGTTACTTTGTTGTGTACATGATTCATGCACTTGAAATGGTAAACCTAGCTAATATTGGTTATAATCATATTTAACTTGTTACTTTGTTGTGTACATGATTCATCCACTTGAAATGGTAAACCTAGCTAATGTTGGTTATAATCATATTTAACTTGTTACTTTGTTGTGTACATGATTCATCCACTTGAAAGTCATTGTCAGATTTATACTTTGTTCCAGAATGATTTATGGAAAGATCTTTTAGAAGTCTTGATCAATCAACTGTTATTTTTCATTAGTAACTATGTTTGCAGTATTTACCAGGGTAACATATTTTAACATTAACAATCAGGTTTTTTAGAAAACAATTTTATATGTTTATTAACAGACTGTTATTAAGACGGATAAGTGGCAACAGAACCTTTTGCTAACCCTTTGGATGCTGTAATTGGATTTATCTGACTTGACATTTATAGCCGTTTGGTGTGATAAGTGGACTTACCCCACAGTGTCACAAAAACTTTTCCTCGTAATGTGACAATTGTGATACTCGCATGACCTTGAATTTCCTGCCTTAGTACCATGCTTATGTACATCACAGAGCAAAAGTGCAATTAGTGGATTTTGATATCAAAAAAGGTCAAATTGTAAATTTCATTTTTAGTGGATAATTGACACTTTTCTAGAACCCACCCAAAATTCAGCTATGCATTCAAAGGGTTAAGTGACATAACTGTTTTATTTTCTTTCAACAACATGTTGTCTATATGTATATAAAACATCTTTTGTCAGTAAGTTATTTTCTGCTAAACATGTTTTTTAAAGAATATTACAAACTTAGATTTAGACTTACCCTTTTTATGACCTGTCTTCAATAATTGTGTAGTACCAAATGGGTAGATCCACTGATTTTTCTGTCATCTCAAAGCTGCAAAGTTAGTTAAGGTATCTCATGTTTTGTCTTTGACAATCATTTCAATCACATGTCAGGTAAAGCTTTGTATAAACTGACTGACATATTGCAAGTTTTCAAGGAGATTTTGTCCTAAAGTTCTTTGGCTTTTTGTGACACCCGTTGTGTTCAACTAACTTGACTTAAACCTGGAAACTCTGAATGGAACATAGGCCTTGAACAACACTTCACCATCAGATATGGTTCTGGGTTACCTTTGTCACCTCGCCTCAAGTCATTCTCATGAAATGATGACAGCTCACTTTTCTTATACCCCATGGATTCCACTTGGGGGTCTTTCCATTCCAGTCCCATTTTCTCTTGGTAGTTTGAGTAATGATCTTGGTTGATTCTCTGTCATAAATCGTTGTTACTGATGGTTTTTGGCCACCTAATTTGCAAGATGTTCCATAAGCACATGTTGATGGAAGTCTGGGGCTTGTTGAACATGATGGTGTTTACTCCCCACTTTTCAGAACCATACAGCAGGACTGACTTGACATTGCTGTTGCAAAACCTGATTTTGTTTGTTATGGAGAAAACTTTTGAGTTTCATATTTGCTTCGGTGTATTGAAAGCATGGCCTGTCTTCTCTGTTATTGTGTCTATCACCAGATACACAGATGAAGGTAGAAATCATTGCATCTGGTGACAGAGTGAATTTTCCTCCTTTCGTAGGTTATACCCATTCAAGTTGATGGCCTCTTCCTGCTCATTGTGGATCTTCATTACTTCTGTTTTCCCTTTGTTCAACTCAACTCAGTTATAATTCAGAATTGTTTCTTAACCAGTACTAGAAATTTTTCTCAATAACTATGCTGATTTAGTTTTATTTCCAATCTCATAAAATTAATATGTCAATGCAGCCATAATACTGCATAAAAACTATGGATTCAGTTTGATGTATAGATATTTTGGGCTGTTAGTATTCTTTCTATTGTAATTAATTATATGAAATCATATAATGTTTCTCTAAGTGTTGTATTTCTGATGCATGTGTTTGTTATCTCCCTAGCTTGACGGCCATTCAGGTGATAGGCTCAAGAGTGAAGCAGCAACATTTTGCCGCAACCAGTCTACTGCTTTAGAGTTGCTAAAGAATAAGCAGAAGAAGGAACAGAAACTAGCACAATTTTTGTCTGTAAGGCTTCTTTACTTAAAGATGTTTAAAGCATTAGAATATTGAGCATAGTAAATGTATTCAGTAGCTCTTTCAACTTAATTTACCAAATAGTTATTGTATGTGGTTTAAAATAAAGATGTTATTATATTTCCACAATTAATAATTGATATTTTCTGTTGTTCTGATATACAGGTATTTGTTTTCACAGAGAAACAAAAACATGAGTGTACTCAAAGATAAATTAGGAGTGAAACATTGGATTTAACCATTTTCTAAAAAAAAATCTCATGTTTTCAAATACCTACAGAACCATAAGATTGTCTTTAGACTAACAGAAGTATGTAATAAAAGTTCAGAATACTTGTTTGTGTCAAAAGCTTCCTATTGTAGGTGGCTCTATCTGGTGAAATATGTATATACTAATTTTCTTTAAAGGAATTATTAAACTTTTAGTTGTTTCTGTATATGCTTTGAGCTCTTAACTCCTCAAAATTTCATAATTGCAGATCAAGGCATTCTCGAAATATTGAATGGCACTGCTTTCGTTTCTGACATCAATCTGAGCAATATTCATATTGGTATCAGCACCAGTAATATTCTGTTCAGTGATGACAGTGGAGGAATAAAAACAACAACATTTTTATACAATCACAATAACCTGAGCACATTTTGAAAGTAGACTTTTCCATTTTTAACCTATTCACTGCGATTGGAACGTATACTTCCCAGTGCTCCCACCTCCTCACAGTGCGACAAATATTTCTCGTTGTCATTCAAATTTTCCATCCGTGACGTGTGGGAGTAAAATCAGTTGGAAAGTATTTATTGGCATTCCACTTAGGCATCTTGTTGGTTACTGAAGGGTTGAGTGGAAAAAAAAAACTGTGGAATGTACATCAACTGGGCCTGCGTTGCTGGAGCAGCGAGTAGTAACCCTAATTACTATGCTTCATGTGCTTGACTCAGATAGCTTAGAAGATAGTGAAAGTGAGTCAAGTGGTGCTCAAATGTGTGATAATGAAGAGGCAATGAAACAAGAGGATGCTAGCTCTTCCTCTACTGATAATAGTCAAGATGATGAACCTGGACTCAGCAGAGAAAGGCGTAAACAGTGTTGAGAATGAGAAGCAGTGTGAGGGTGTGGAAGCACTGGGAAATATAAGCCACAGTGAATGGGTTAATGAAGAAAGTTTTACCTTACAAAAGTCCTTTGGTTGTCAAGTTACTTTCTTATGGACTTTTATTTTCTTGCATATTTATCCAAGCTTTATGAATTATCATGCCAGTTACTCTTGAACACTCCTTATATTTTACAGTTGAAGAAAATCATTTCTATTGTTAATGATGATAAAAGTGATATGTTGTTTAAAGTTTACATTTGTATGTGTTCTGTGTTTTTAGGATGCTGAAGCAAATCAACTCTGTAGGAGGCTACAGCTTAAAGACATTATTGCCACTGGCTTTCAGCGACTGACAAAGTATCCACTTCTTTTGGAAAATATTGCAAAATACACACCACGTAAGTATTATTACACTACACAGTCATTGTTCACTAATTACACCAGGCCAGGTGGTTATGGCGCTCGATTTGCAATCTGCAAATCCCCGTCCCACCAAACATGCTCGCCCTTTAAGCCATGGGGGCGTTATAATGTGACGGTCAATTCCACTAATTGTTGGTAAAAGAGTAGCCCAAGAGTTGGCGGTTGGTGGTGATGAATAGTTGCCTTTCCTCTAGTCTTACACTGCTAAATTAGGGACGGCTAGTGCAGGTAGCCCTCGTGTAGCTTTGCACGTAATTCAAAACAAACACTAGTTACATCATCTGATTAATAGATAGTAATTTGTGTATAAGTTGACCCCACATGTAAATGTTTTTGTGTGGGCAAGAAGGTTAGGATTATTTTCTTGCCTTAAAATATTCATAACTAGTTTATATACTGAAAATAATTACATAATTATACATTTTTCTTCAAAGTTAAAAATTCTAAACTGAGATAGTCAAATCTTATTCATCAGGAGTGGTTGTAATGATATATATTTTAACTTTTCAGATTCTTTAATAGTGAGTTTTTCACACCGCAAGCAATTTTTCTGCTATGTGACTGATGAATATTGAAATTATAAATGGAAAGTAAAACATTAGTATGTTTATAGGAAACTTGCCACATGTAGAAATACTTATTATGGGTGTGATTAACAACTAGTTTTCAAAGTAGTCAGAGCAAACAGTTTTATATGCATTATTAATTAGAAACTAACACTATCAGCAATTATATCTAAATCTTTCTGGAAAGGTTTATTCAGAATATAACTCTTTCAACATAATTATTACCTCTCACACTTTGTATACAACAAGAAATAAAAAAACATTTTGAATGTGACTTTATTTAATATATACTTAAATGCCTTATATAGCAAAGTATTTTAAGACTGATTTCTTTAAATTAAGTCATTGATTTTGAATTTGAATGCGTTTTTTTTTGCCACTTAATGTTATTGAAATCAATTTTCCTTTAAAAGGCTTATGATAGTATTTCATGAAACCGCATATTTCATCCATTATTCAAAATATCTAAGAATGATTAATCAAAACAAGCAGTAAATAACTACTTACATTTAAACTAATCATTATGTATTTTGAAACACTTTTTTTTTTCATGAGCTAAAACAGAATATATGTTACTTATTCATGAACAGAAAACTCCGAAGAACACAGCAGACTACTGCGGGCAGTACACTGTAGCAAACAAATTTTGGCATATGTTAATCAAGCTGTTAAAGAAGCAGAAAATGAACATAGACTTAGTGAGCTTCAGAAAAAGATGGACAGAAGTGCTTTTGAGAAGGTTGAAGCACCTATTGTTCAAAATTATCGAGTAAGTTTCTTTAACACACATTAATATTATATATATACTTGCATTTGATGTATGCCATTTTTTTTATCAAAGAAAATATATTAAATTTTAAGTTTCAGGCAACTACCAAAATATTGAATGTTTAGTGTATGCATCTAATATGATTCTAAAAATAAGTATACTTGTGTGGAGTTGTGCACAAATTTGTTTAATTATTTCTGTAAATATAGTGAATTGTTTACAAGCTTTGTAATACCAGTACTTTAAAATTGGGTTTCTTTATGTGTATTGTGGAAGATGAGTTTGAACATTTGAATAGAGTTGTTTAAACATTTGTTTAACAAGTAAAGTTTGGACATTTATTTTATTGCACAGTGCAGTTAAATACTTTGAAAGCAGGTTTATAATGCTTCTTAATCGTCTACCTTGCAGAAAATGATTCCATATTTATAACTAGTTTTATATGTTGTAATAAAGACTTGAAATAAAAGTTTACAAACATTTTCAAACAGTTATTATATGTTGTTTTGAATTTCTACAACTTTTTTTCTCTTAAAAACAGTAGAATGTCCTCCCAGTGGCTTAGCATTAGAGTGCTTGATAGCCCATTGATAGTTTTCTGCTAAAACAAAAGTTGTCCAATTATCATTAAACTTCTTTACATATGAAAAATAGTTTAGTGATGTTAATGAAAAATAGCTGTTCTCTTTCTAGTTTCAGTACTATCCACAAGATGTTAAAGATTTTCCAAGCATTGCTTGAGGATTGTGTTTTAAATAGCTTACTTAGCCCATCAAAGTATATAATTTAACAAAAGTTATAAAATAATAAAGTATTCATTAATGGTATGTATGATATAATGCAGAAGAAAAAGATCTTTTCAGCCATGAAATACTCTAATCAGTTTTAATATATTTTAACCAAAAATAAGTGGCTGGTGTTAAATTATTACTTTGTGTAAAAATAATGGTGTGATTTTAATAATAAGACATTGTAGAAACATTGTATCATAAGATCTTAATTGGAAAGTACAATCAGTTTTAGATTAGAAAGGACCCAAAAACTTAGACGCTTTCCAGTAGTTGACCATTCTTCTTCGGGAATACAGAGGTTAAAGCTTAGAGAGCATGGGGCTAATAAGTACAAAAATAAATACACATGAGCAGAAAGTACTTGTTGAAATGAATTTGAAAGCTGACTAATCCTGATTAACCCTACTGACACGGGTCAAAGGCCATGTCATCGCGTTTGTAGACTTATATTCAAAAGTTTATTCAACTACTATTTTATGAAACGAATATCAATAAGTTTGGTATCAAATTGTAGATTATATTTCAAATTTTAATATTATACATTAGTTAATTTCTTAGTTTTAAAATAAGTAAAAAAAATCCTAAATGTCGATTTTTGTGTGTCGTGTGGTATGTTGAATGTAACATTTGTTCAAGTTAGATGTTTATGATGTCCAAATACAAAGTCTGTAGTTTCTTACAAATTAGATACTCAAATGAATAATATTGACAAACTAGAATGTAAATTTTTGAACCTCCTATTTTTTCCATTTTCTGAGATATTAATATATTTATTGGCTCAACCAAGATGGCCTTGCCCACCTCTTTCATTTTTGAAAATACTTGCTTACTTACATTTACTTCACCCAGTGACGTATGTATGACCAATCAAAAGCTCAGAAGTACCCCATGGTGGTTTTCTCAGCCTCTGAGAAGTATTTGCACTGAAAACTTTATTTTCATGGTAGATTCTAAGTGTTAAGGTAAAACATTAGGGAGCTCAAAAAATCATATTTTTTTAGACCCAAGTACAGCTTAGTTACAAGCTTGATAAATTACAGTGGAATTCTGTGGTATGGATATAGTTACTTATTATTTTTTGTTATTTCAAAATGCATATATAAAACCTAAAAAATTATTTTATTGTACATCATCCACTTGCAAAATTTGATAAGGCTTAGCAACTTATGGCAAGCAGTAGTTGAGTACATAGTTCGTAACTAAAAGAGATAATTGTTTTCTATACTTCTTTATTTACTGTTCTATGTTTTAAAAAAATAACTGACATTTAAGAACTTATTTGTAAATAGTAATAATGTATATATGTATATAATGTATTATAGCTGAAATGTGACTGTATTTTGCAAAGTAGTAGCCCATCAGAACACAGCCAAGACAGGTCACTCTGTAAGGAACAGTTTTATATTCTTGGATACGGTAACATGGATGCATGTGCACCACATCATTGCGACTTTTGTAATGCTAGTCAGGCACTGCCAATAAAATAAAAATAATATATATATATATATATATATATAGATGTATAATATGAGATTTAAGCTATTTAGACTAAACATTTCTGTTTTCATTTTATAATTTGTAGTCATTCTAGAACAAACAAAACATAACTTGCATCTATTTCCTGATTTTTTTGGTGGTTACAAGATCAGTCAAATTGACCAAACCCGTACAGAGATACAATATTGAAAATAACAGATAAAATATAAGGTTCTTTCTTAAAAAAAGAAATGCTTGATAATTATCTGAAGGTTATAAAGATTTCGCACATGAAATTTGAAAATTTTCTGGTGCATAAAAGTATTTTCTAATCTTTGAATCAAAATCACTTTGTATATATGAGATAGTCAACATTCGAAAAGATTGGGAAAACATTATTTAAAAAATATTAATATAAATATTAAATAGAATTCTTGAAGGGGTTTCCATGTCTGTAAAAAGATAACAGAGAATCTTTGTTTCCTGAGATGAATAAAATATCATCAGTGTAGTACCTCTAGATTCTTGGTTTGTCTGTATTTACAAGTATTAAATTCAAAACTGTTAATAGTAAGAACAAGCCTACCTAAGTCTATGATAATTTCTGTTAGACTTGTCAAGTTTCAGTAGGGCAGATTGAAAAATTTTGAGGCATTCATCACGTGTAATATATGTGTAAAGAGAAGACATATCCATCATGCAAGGAATAGTTTTGGAGGGAGTATACCTTTACTGTTAATGTCACAAATCAAGTGCAGAATGTGTGTTGTGTCTTTAATGGACATGAAAGGATGTCTTTGATGTGGTAGTCGATGTAAAATAGATAGGTTTCAGTAGGCTTACCAGTTTTAGAGATAATAGGGTGATGTTATGTTTGTATATCTTTGATAACATCTAAAAGCAACCTGGAACAGGAATGTTTAGGTTGAAAAAACTGATGTGCTGGTTTTTTTTTCAAGCTGTTTTATACTTCTTTCATAGTTTGAATGAATTGTAGGGTTGGGTCCACATCTACTATTGTATAGTAGTTGGTATCATTAAGTTGTTGTTAAGCCTCGTCGGTATAGTCAGTTATGACAATGATGCCAGATTTAACAAGTTTTTTTTTGTCAGGACAACACATTCATTAGAGTTAATATTTCAAACTCTCAATTGCAGGAGTAAAATTTCTAAGCATGGTTTTTCTATTGATTAGTGGCAGCTGGGCAAACTTCTTTGCATACTATGTTAATATTACCAAATTTGTTGTTAAAAAATGACTGACTCATTAGTTTGAAAACTAATTCTTGTCAGTTGCGAATACTTTCAAAACTATCAAGATTGTTAGTAGTAGGGGAAGTTGATACCTTTACTAAGAAGGTTAATTTCAGCTACAGATAATTTGGGGAAAATTTTATGATGTTGGAGGTATTTTCAGCTTGGGGTTGACTGAACAAAGAAATAACTGAATTGTGTGGATTGGGAAAATAATTTTTGTTAGCAGTTTTTTCTTTTTCCCATTGATTGTGAGAGTTTATATTAACAAGATGGGTTTGTTTATGAACATCTATACTTTGTAAACAGTTGTTAACGTTCAAAAAGTTCTGAATGGAAATCTGACAGTCTGTTTGGCTTGTGTGTTTGTTTTTTTTTAGTGTTTTTCTAGAAAAGTTTTTAGTTTTGTTGATGAATGAAAAAGTATATATTTGTTCCAAAGGATAAATTATGTATTTCAGAACTGATAATGGTAATGGAGGATTTTAAGATTTGGAAGTTAGGTATGATCTGTTTCTGTAAATTGAACTCAAAGAATTGTACATTGTGGGTGTACCTCAGGCTCCTGTCATTAAGTTTGATAGATTCTTTAGTACTACAATCAAATGAACCTGTGTAGTGGCAGAGAATGGAAGAAGTTGATTGAGGTATGTGAAAATATCTACAAGTGCTAGGGGAACGATGGAGAGGTAGTGTCAGGAATTTTAGAGTAGATGCAACATGCAAATATAGGTAACTTTGGGCCATAAGGTACTGGAAGACATATGCATGTAAATATGGAGTTGGGTATGAGCAAAAGTATAGGAGAGCCTGATCCTTCGTGCTAACGATTTCATTGTTGTAGTTACTTTCATATTGATTGGCTTCTGGTTGGTATTAACTTGATTATGTTTCTGTCTTTGCAGCATCTGGACCTAACAAAGCACAGATTAATCCATGAAGGCCCTTTAATTTGGAGGTTACATAAACAGAAAACAATTGAAATGCACGTGGTGCTATTTGAAGATATTCTGGTGTTGCTTCAGAAGCAGGATGATAAGTTGTTGCTGAAATTTCACAGTAACAATCTGATGTCAGGCCGAGAAGACACCAAAATTACCCATAGTCCAATACTTCGTGTACAGAACCTGTTCACAAGGAATGTGGCTACAGGTACGTTATATGTCTAGCTATTGTAAATGGAAGAAAAGAGATAATGGTGCAACAAATTTTTCATTAGAAAGCTAATTATACAAGTGAGTTTTGTAAAGTTTAACATTTTCCTTTCATGTCTATGACCTTGGCACTATTGTCCAGCTGGAAGCAATTTTATGACCAAAGTAAATTTAAAATTATTTCAGAATTTGGTAGTACAAACTTTGAAAACTGAAAGAGCTTACTTTAGTTTGTAACCTACAATTATATAATAGTATTAAGAATTTTATAAGTACAGAAATTCAAGTTTGTAGGAAAATCTTCTTTTCTTTTTTTTTTTTCAATATAGAAAATTATTGTGGGGATTAAAATATGTAAAATGAAGCCTTTTGTGGTATGAAGATTAATCAGTTGCTGTTTTATTGGTTGGATTTCTTCAGTTATAGAATGTGGATATATATATCAAGATAATTTTGAACAAAAAATTTTCTTATTTTTATATATTGCTAAAGTTAATGGTTAATTGTAAGTAGTATTTCGTAATAACTGTTCATAACAATAGATAACTTAA